TTTCATGCTGTACATCTGCCTGCAGTTCTTGGACCCCTTCATCTCTTCTCTGCTTGGGGAACTCCTCCCTAAGCATCACTCACATAGTTACCTTCCTTAAGGCTCTGAAAGAAACATTAGTCTGATTCTCCTGTGTCTTTTTTTTTTTTAAACATGTTATTTATTTATTTATGAGAGACAATACAGAGAGAGGCAGAGACATAGGCAGAGAGAAGCAGGCTCCATGCCGGGAGCCTGATGCGGGACCGATCCCGGGACTCCAGGATCACGCCCTGGGCCGAAGGCAGGCACCAAACCGCTGAGCCACCAGGGGTTCCCCTGATTCTCCTGTGTCTTATGCATCCATCCTGGGTATAGTGGAAGTCATATAAGAGTTATTTGTTTTTGTTTCCCACTCACCCAGATTCTCTTTCCAGGTAGATTGTGAACTCCATGGTGTCTAGTGTAGTCAGTCTCTAATTTTGTTCATTCTCAGAGTTTGGCAGTGTTGGAACATATAATATTTATTCAGTAGTTGTTTGTTGATGTAAAATAAAATAGTAAGCCTCTTCTGTTTTCCATATAAACAACAAGAAAAATATTTTAACCCTATTAGTTTGAAGACAAAATTTTTTTAAGGATTTATTTATTTATGTTGGAGAGTGTGCACCTGAGAAGGGGGAGAGGGAGAGAGAAAGCATCCCCAAGCAGAGTTTCTGAGTGCAGAGAGCCCTTCAATCCCAGGACCCTCTGATCAGGACCTGAGCCGAAGTCAGGAGTCAGACACTCATTGGACCAAGCCACCCAGGTGCCCCATGAAGATGAAAATTTTTATCTCAGTATTGCTTGAGCTTGAATTTCCTCATCTTATCTTGAAAGATGCTTCTAATTTTTTTTTTTTTTGTCATAGATCCTTAGGACCAAAGATGGCCCAGGGCTGATCTGCACACTTGGTAGTAGTATTGATAGGAGTCAAAAAGCCTTGGTCCTAATTATGATGATAACGGGTGGAGTTTTGGCCTGTACTTGTATATATAGGCTCCTAAATGGTGCTTCACCTTGCTAATAGTGACTGGAGGCTGGTCATCAAGTTTAGACATTATTGAAAAGCCTAAAACTACCTTTACCATAAGCCGGTTCCTAATATTTCATTCAAGAGATGTTCCTGAACTTGCTTCTTTAAACTTGAGAAATTCTTTCCTGAATTATATTACAATTCCACCACTGAGCCTGTTTTTCTGCCTGGGATAAAGCTTTCATTTTAAGGCAGCAATTTCTACAATTTGTACAAATAATGTGCTTCTTATATTTTCTACCATCTATAGAATTGCTTGCATCACGAGTTTTCCAGAACATAGTGTCTCAGATGGAAAATGTAATAGAATTGCAGTCTCTGCCAGATTTATTTTTCTATTTTGTTATTACATAATGTTCCTGTTGAATAATTGTTTTTCTTTGTCACTGCTGAGTGAAGCTCACATGGTTTTTTTTTTTTAATTTTTTTAAATTTTTATTTATTTATGATAGTCACAGAGAGAGAGAGGCGCAGAGACACAGGCAGAGGGAGAAGCAGGCTCCATGCACCGGGAGCCCGACGTGGGACTCGATCCCGGGTCTCCAGGATCGCGCCCTGGGCCAAAGGCAGGCGCCAAACCGCTGCGCCACCCAGGGATCCCAAGCTCACATGGTTTTGATATACATTACAGCCATATAGCAGAAAATGTCTTTAAATTTAAAAAATTGCATATTAAATATATCCATGTTTATTCTAAAAATTTATGTATTTTTGAGTCTCGTGGATTTACTTAGTAACCTCCTTTGATTATTATCAATATCAGGTGTCCTAACCGTAGTATCTAATATACACTAAAATTTAGGAAGCAGTTTCTCTAAAGGCTTTGGAATTACTTTGTCTGCTTTTATTACAGCAAATAATAAAGTACTTTTATTTAAAAGTTAATGTAATTTAGAAAGAAGATTGTTTTAAGAAAGAACAAGTTGCCTCTAAAAGCCAGGCCATCATAGATAGCAGTGTATGTAGGGCAAGTTTACCTGCTTTTCAACCTTGTCATGTAAGAGAACAAATTGTTCCTTTATGATACTTAATATTATGTGTGCCTGAGACACATAAGCCGTGGGGTATGAGTTGTCACTACCACTTGGAGAAAACCCCCAAGACAGGCAGCACTCCCATAGGTTGAGAGCAATAAAGCCTCTTTGCCCCCTGGCTTATCACTGAAATATTTGTGGGCATTGTGGGAAAGGTCACGTGTGTAGTTTTCATAACTAAGGTGTTGGCATCTGACCAAGGACTAGCACTGAGAGAGCATAGTGGTCAAAGTGAGTCCCATGTGGCCTCTTGGGATCTGCCCCTTCTTCATATGGTGAACCTTAGAGGTGCCACATTATCGCCTACCAGTTAATACACAAAAGAAATGGCCATGACCTATCCACTTTCTTTCATTCTCAATTTCAAAGCTGCAGATAAACCTTAAGTTTTCAGATCTTTGAGTATTTTGCTAATTTAGCAGATGGAAGTTATATTTAAACTTATTAAGTGAAATAATTACTGGGTTTGTTCCTAGATCCCATCCATATAATTCAGAGTAAAGGCCTATGCTTCAGTTTATTCTGCTCAAGCTTTCAAATTCCTTTGACAGCCTGGATGTGAAATTCAAAAGTCATTAATGTGATGTGTTAATTTTGCACTTTTTGACTTACTGCAAAAAAAAAAAATCTTATAGTTTCCATAGCAACGATAACCTATCCAGATTGTGTAATATTCTTTACAGTATTAAAAATAAAACCATGCAATTACATGAGCTTCTGGAGCACTTCATTTAAGGGAACTGGGGATTGAAATATTTCTGTTTTAAAAGATTATGATTTCATTGAAAATTTTGCCAAAAAGCTTATGTAATTTTGTTTTAAGAATTTAACAAATTTTTAAAATATTTAACGATAGATACTTGGTAGTTAAAGTAATTATTAAATGAGAAATTTACATCATGAGCGTTGTGTTAAACCTCTCAGGCATGAATGCTTTTACACACATGTTCACACATACATTTAAGGGGGGGGGATGTTTGGCTTTAATTACATTCAGTCACCTGCTGTTTGTACTTCTTAGTGACTTCTGGGTGGTCTGACAAAAAGCCTAGCTTTATGTTTGGAGGAAACAGGATAGAGAAAAAGGAAAAAGTGATTACTTAAAGCTTTCTCTAGTTTTGACTTTGCTTTTTAAATTAACATGTCTAGGATATTACTTTGAAGATACTAAGGATTGTTTTAGTACGTGACTATTTTCAGTGTCATTATTTTGCCTTTTCTCTTTTTCTCCTCTAATTCTAATTTAAAAGATGTTATAATATAATATTAGCACTAAAGTTAATTATAAGTTATTACATCTTAACACAACTGATTTTCATCTTTTTATCATCTTAGCATATGTCTAGATATATGTATAATTTTATATGGTATAATTTGTGTATTTTCTCACTAATATATAGTAAACATTTTCCATGTTTCTGATGATGGTCATGATTATCATTTTAGTAATTGCATAACAGTCTATTTTCTATTGATATATCTGGTGTGTTTTCTGTTTGTCAAAATGCTGCTTAATTATTTCCTGAATGCCATGTATTGGAAGGAAAATGGATATAATTTTCAAACTGATTGTGGGAGACAGTAACTGTAATTCACTTATTTGCCCAAACCATAGATGATTGTGAAAATCTTCAAAAGGCACGTAAAATGTTTTAAAATGCATGTAATGAATACTCTCTTAAATTACTGTATCTGCAAGGCACCTGGGTGGCTCATTCATTTAGGTGATTTGATTTTAACTCAGGTCTTGATTTCAGGATCTTAGGGTCGAGAGTTCAAACCCTGTGTCAGACTCCATGTTAGGCATGGGGCCTACCTATAAAATTGCTTTATCTGCCAGTAAACACAGTATGGGGAAGATAAGGAATAGGTAAGTCAGGCAGATGTGGCACCATTTAGGTGCCATCATTTGAGAAAACCATTATGACATTATGAAAGCTTGCTGAGGCTCCAATATTTGTCAAAAGACAAAACTCAGAGAGTGTGGATGATATTCCTTTTATCAGAACAACTCAGAATATGAACCACATTTCTGACATTTTGCTGTGTCCAGTTCTGGTGTCAGTACCCTGAGGATACTGTGTTGCTCTAGCCACTCATGTGAAACTGTTTTGTTTTGTTTTGTTTTTTTTAAATGGACTGTATCACCATTATTGAACTGCTGTCTTCCCTTGGTTGAGCACCTTGATAACTACTGGGATTTCCCAGAATTCCTAGTCCTACCTTCACTATTTGGAAAATTCACTATAACTACTAGGTTTTTCCTAGAGTTCTTGAGAATGAGATGTTGGTGGCTAGAGTTTTAAAGACTTTCCAAGGCTTTTGGTTGAGGTCTTTAGGCTTTTTTTTTTTTTTTTTTTTTTGAGGTCTTTAGGCTTTTGAATGCCCCCTGTCCTAGGTCAGAATAGGGTGTCCCAATGGGTCGAGATTCTTCTATAGCTCATCCCTCCTATTAAGTGGTTCTTATACTACGAAATTACTTTAAACAAATATAGAAGTTTGCATCTGTCATTTATTTTTGTAGTTAATGTTTTAACAGAATGCTTTCATAGATTACAGATAATTAAGACGAGTAGAATTATCTTACAATATGCTTGAGTTTATATTTATACTTGTTTACTTTTTGAAACTAGTGCTGTGTTTAGTATCCTGTTTCAATTTTGAATTTTGTGTTTTGGCTCTGTCTAGTGTTTTCATTGTGACATGAGGTTTTTTTTTTTTTTTTTTTTTCGTATTTTGTATTTCTGTAGTTGTAATATTATCAGAACCAGTAAGCAATGCATAGCAATGCATGCATAGTGAGAGTGTTTATATATCACTGAGAGACTAGTGTATTTTTATTGTTTTTGTAGCTATGATTTTGAATCTGAAAATAATGTTTAGAAAAAATAATTTTTTTTGTTCATATGCAGAAAAGATGAAAAGGAATATGCATTGAAGCAAATTGAAGGCACGGGAATATCCATGTCAGCTTGTAGAGAGATTGCAGTAAGTGAATATCAATATGTTTTTTATTTTGTTACTGATATTGGATGATGAGTGATATTAATATGAAATAGTTTCAGTGATGTATTCCATGCATAGTTATTTCAAAGATGTCAATTAGTTTAATGATATTTTATATAAGATGAAAAAGCTGCATAAACTTTAATTACTTGAAAGTCATCTTTAAACAATCTCTTAATGTTATTTAGGATTTATAATCTTAGGAATATTGAATGAGCTACATGATGATTTAATTAAATTATGAATCAATATAATTCATTACTAAATAATTATTAATATCACTAATTAATGTAGTTCATTATTAATACAATTCATTATTGATAAGGTAACAATTTAATGCCTATTTTTCTTGTAATTTTAGGACTGATATATGTCTATAGAGAAAGGGGTTTATTATTAGATATTATGCATATTAATTTTTTTCTCACATGTTTTAGTACTAGAATTTGCTAGTTGCTAGAAAAATAGGACTATCATTATAATAATAGGGTAATTCCTTAAAGAAAGATAATTTCTTTCTTTTTTTTGTCTTTATATGATATATTGTGCACTTAAATGATTGTCCATAAGAATACCTAACATTTACTATTTGCTAGGTACCAGGCTTACTAAGTGCTTTCAAAAATTAGTTAATTTACTTTTCACAACAAACAATCCTATGAAATGAGTACTTTTAATATCTCCACTTAACATATCAATAAACAAAGGCAAAGCCATATTTGTGGCTTAGAAGACTTACCATTATATTATCTTATTTTAGTTCATTTTCTTATTTTAGTTCTTTAGTTTCTTTTTGGGATTTCATCGTAATATCACATCTACTAGGGATTTCTGTCTCAAAATTGTCAAATATATTGTCTGTATCCATTAGGTATTTCTGCTTCTAATTTGGTAACTGTACATATATTGCCCACAGTTCCATGTTTCTGCCTTACCCACATTGAAATACTCCAGCATCACTCAAAGAAAATGTGTTGTACCAAAGAACACACGGGGCAGGCAATCTGTAGAGTTGAGTGTCTGCTGGCCTGAGTGACTATTTAGTCCTGAGTGCCAGTTTCTTTATTTGTAAGATAAGGGAACTATAAGGTCTCTTCTAGTTATAAACTCTTTGCTTTCAGAATGGGAGCCTCTCACTAGACTATGCACACTTTAAGGGGCAGAGACTATCTTTTTATCTCCAGTTCCTAGCATAGTGCCTGCCATATAACAGGTAGTCCATAAATGTGTGTTGAATAAATAAATGAATAAACAGAACAAAAATAATTTTACTATCAGTCCATGATCCTAAGTTTGCTCTAGAATATAAAATTTATGGTTTAAAAAATTCCAGTTTGGCAGTTTTCTATAAATTATAAGGTGGTATTTGTAATGCTTTACCTGAATAAGCATTTGGTAAGTGATTTTTTAATTCCCTAAAATTCTTAAACATGTTGTCTCAACCATTGTGAATATGGTGTGCAATTTTGCTATTTAAAAGTACTGTAGTATAGTATAGCATTAACTCCCTTTCTGTGAGTTAATTGGGGAAAAAGCTGATATTTAAGGTATTAATTATTAGGAAATGAAAGCCCAGTTGTAGATCTCCTTTTTGAAACAGAGACTTCTCTATGATGAGTAATCCATGGGTTCCCATTTCTCTACAACCTCACTAGCATTTGTTGTCTGTTGTCCTTTTGATGATAGTCATTATACAGGTGTGAAGTGATAGCTCATTGTGGTTTTGATTTGCATTTCCTTGAGGATTAGTAATATTGAGCTCCTTTCATACATCTGTTGGCCATTTGTTGTCTTTGGAAAGATGTCTACTCAGCCCTTCTGCCTATTTTTTAATTGGATTTTTTAAAAACTATTGAATTGTATGAGTTTCTGATATATTTTGAATATTAATCTTTTATCAGATATATGGTTTGTAAATATTTTCTCCTATTCTGTAAGTTGTTTTTTCATTTTGTTTTTTATTTTGTTGTGCAGAAGTTGGAAAAGCATGACACATTCACAGTCTTCATATTTTTATTGAGAATTTGCTTAATAGACCTTTGAAAGTATGCAGTTTCTAGATTGAATAGTATTTTATCACTACCTGAATGACCTAGCCCCAATGTGATAGTGATTTTGGCACAAGTTGAGCATGAATATTATTATGTAGTGGCTAAGTGCATACATATTTCTTTGTACATTACAAGCCTGCTAACACAGTTTTATAATTATTGCTTTATGTAATTTTTGTGAATCATATAGAAGAAAAAAGTTATAAACAAAAATACATTTATGTTTTTTTAACCCATGTTTTTACCTTTACCAGTGCCCTTTATTTTTTATATAGATGAATTATATATATACATATATATACACACACATATATACATATGTATATATTCCTTTCATTTTAACCGAGGGTCTCCCTTTAGCATTTTTTTAAAAGATTTATTTATTTATTTATGATAGACATAGAGAGAAGAGAGAGAGAGAGAGAGAGGCAGAGACACGGGAGGAGGGAGAAGCAGGCTCCATGCCGAGAGCCCGATGCGGGACTCAATCTCGGGACTCCAGGATCGCGCCCTGGGCCAAAGGCAGGCGCTACACTGCTGAGCCACCCAGGGATGCCCCTTTAGCATATTTTTGTAAAATAGATCTGTTAGTGATGAATTCTTTCAGTTTTTGTATTTGGGAATGCCTTACTTCTTTTTTCCTTCCTCACCCGGTTCCCCTTTGATTTTGCAGGATAGTTTTGCTGGTTATAGAATTGTTTGACGGTCTTTTTCTTTTTTTTATTTATTTATGATAGTCACAGAGAGAGAGAGAGAGAGAGAGAGAGAGAGGGGCAGAGACACAGGCAGAGGGAGAAGCAGGCTCCATGCACCAGGAGCCCGACGTGGGATTCGATCCCGGGTCTCCAGGATCGCGCCCTGGGCCAAAGGCAGGCGCCAAACCGCTGCGCCACCCAGGGATCCCTGACGGTCTTTTTCTTTCATTACTTTGACTATATTAATCCACTGCCTTCTGGCCTCCATGGTTTCTGATGAGAAGTCAGTTGTTAATTTTATGAGAATCTCTTATACACGAAGAATTATTTTTCCTGTTACTTTCAAGATTCTCTTTTTGTCTTGCTCTTTTGACTGTTTGACTATATCTGTGTAAGTGTGGATCCTGTTTGGAGTTTGTTGAGTTCTTGGATATGTAGATTAATGTTTTTGATGAAATTTGTAAAGTGTCTAGTTATCATTTCTTCAGATACTGTTTCTCCCCCTTTCTTTCTCTCTTTTCCTCTTAAGACTCCCATCATGTGTGTTGATAGGCTTGATGGTATCCCATAGTTCTCAAAGGCTCTGCTTATTTTTCCTAATTTTTTTTTCTATTTTTGCACAGACAGGATACTTTAAATTGCCTACCTTCAAGTTTGCTGATTCCTTGTTCTGCCAACTCAGATACGCTGCTGAAATTTTCATTTTATTTGGACTTTTCAACTCCAAAATTGCTATATGTTTCTTTTAATAGACTTTTTTTTAAAGCGATTTTAAGTTTACAGCAAAATTGAGTTGAAAGTCTAAAGATTTTCCATATATTTCCTACTCCACACATGGATAGCCTACCTTATTATCAATGTCCCCCCACCAGAGAGGTACATTTGTTATAATGATGAACTTATGTTGATACCCAGAATCCATAGTTTACATTAAGTTTCACTCTTGGTATATATTCTGTGGATTTGAACAAATGTTTAATGACATGTATCTGCCATTATTGTACCATACAGAATATTTCCATTGCCTTAAAATCCTTTATGCTCTGCCTATTTATCCTATACACCCTCCTACCCTGCCTTGGCCCCTGACTATCATTGATCTTTTTATTGCTTCCATAGTTTTGTCTTTTTCAGAATGTCCTATAGTTGGAATCACAAAGTATGTGGCCTTTTCAGATTGGCTTCTTTTACTTAGTAATGGACATTTCAGGTTCCTTCATGTCTTTCATGGCTTGCTATCTCATTTCTTTTTAGCACTAAGTAATACTCCATTTTCTGGGTGTACTATAGTGTGTTTATCCATTCATCTACTGAAGTACATCTTGGTTGCTTCCAAGTTTTGGCAGTTATGAATGAAGCTGCTATAAATATTGTGTTCAGGCTTTATGTGACATAACTTTCAACTCTTTTGGGTAAACACCAGGGAGCACAATTGCTGGGTTATATGATAAAAGTATGTGTACTTTGGAAGAAACCACCAAACTGTTTTCCAAAGTGGCTGTACCATTTTGTATTTCCACCAGCAATGAATGAAAATTCTTGTTGCTCTGCATCTTTGCTAGCATTTATTGTTGTCAGTGTTCTGGATATTAGCTGTTCTAGTAGGTATCTTATTGCTATTTAATTTGAGAGTTCATTTTAGCCTTCATATCCTACTTGTATAGCCTTAATGGGTGAAAAATTAGAGCCTTTTCATCTATTTCCTGGACATGCCCACAGTTCTGCTCACGAGCAGTTACAGTTTTTCTTTTTTCCCCCCTAATTATACTCTTTCCTACCTGATTCCATTTATAGAAAATTCTAGAAAATGCAAATAATCTATGGTGATAGATAGTAGATCAGTGATTCCTTGAGGATGGGATGGAGACAAATATTATAAAGAAGTATGAAGAGTCTTTGGAGACCATGTAAGTCTTTATCATATTGGTTGTCATGATGGTTTCTTGAGTGTGTAGCTATATCAAAACTCATAAATGGTATGCTTTAAATTTGTGCAGGTTGTTGCACATCAATTATATCTCAGCAAATTTTGGGGAAAAATCAAAGCTGAATGGGTTTATTAGTGGATAAAGGGTCTGTAAATGAGGAATTTGTAAAATCAGTGGCTCATAAGCACAGCTGGAAGGATTGACCTTGAATAGTAAATGGAATAGCTAGTTTATCTGAAACTGCAGTGATAGAAGAGATGATGGTGTCAACATACAACACTTTGCTAGGTTGATGATGAGGTAGTTAC